CCTCGCCTTTGTCAGTGCGCCCCAGGGCAGCTGTGGTTAAAATGTAGCTTGCCTTGTGTGAATGTGTGTGTGAATGGGTGAATGACTGTAGTGTGAAGCGCTTTGGGGTCCTTGGGGACTAAGTAAAGCGCTATACAAATGCAGGCCATTTACCATTTATCAGGCAGTATTTAGAATATGCTGTGTTTATATAATGCACATATAAACATCACTGAACATATAAACATTCTCATCGTCTTCAAAGGGTGCCAGCTTGAAGATGTCAAAGTTGGCTGTGAGAGACTCAGTGAAGTCTGGACCGCTGTTCAACATGGAGCTTCATCACAGCCCCAAAGGCAAAGGAAAGAAGACCGTCTCCACTTCAGTCAAACCTCAGGCTGGTTAGTCCATCCATTCCTTTGGAAATTTAAATTTTTATAAAATCTTTTATTGATTCCAGTTTGCTGCAGACAGATGGCATCATAAGTAACAAGTATGCACCAAAGTGCATGCCACGTTTACTGTTTAAAGGAGTAGGTGAAGAAGAAATCTGTGCATATATATCAAAGGAGCTATGTTTAGAAATGTGTCCAAACAGCAGTTTGCATATGAGTAAGAATAGAGGAATTCTCTATATCTGTGTCCGTTCCTTACCTTTACTTCATCTGAACTACTTACATAACAGATTTTTTGCTGGGAACAAGTGGAAAAGACAAATAATGTCAAAGGCTTTAAGATAGGTAGTTCTTAAATTTTAACTAAAAATTGTTTTCTGTTCTTGTTTTGCAGTTGCCTGTGTGAGGCATTTAGTAAACAGGTGTAAATTGGTACTGTGCAGTCAGTAATCATGCTCCAAATATTTTTAAAAAGGCAAATCATTTAAGCCTATATACCCGTATTTAGGGCTGCTCGATTATGGCAAAAATGATAATCACGATTATTTTCACTGAAAAATTGAAATCTCAATTATTTGACGATATTTATTTAACAATAACAATGTATTCAATAATGACTTTAAAGATTGTCAAAAAATAATATAAAATAGTGTGCAAATAAAATAAATGAAAAATGTAAACATCTGTGTTTAGTGAACTTTGCAGTGTTGCTCTGTGGTGCAGCTACGACACTGTAGCAAAGTTTACACACTATGTCTACTTGATCCACGTCTGACTCCACGAACCCATAATGTTTCCACACCACTGAAGTTTTTTTACCTCTCTTTTCAACCAACAGCAGTCACTCTCCTCTCCAAATAACTTCTGCTTAGCTTTCCGAGCTTCCCTCGGGTCCTCTTAATCAGCGGTCCCCAACCCCCGGGCCCCGGACCGATACCGGTCCATGAGTCGTTTGGTACTGGGCCGCGAGAGTTGAGGCTCAAGTGTGAAATGTATAGTTTTCAGGGTTTTTATCGGTTTTCAGCGTTATTTTGTTATCGTTTTTATCGTTAACTTGGTTTTCCTTGGTCTTTTCACGTGTGTTATGAATAAATTTTCTTTTTTTTGGTACCGGTACTAGTTTTATTTTGTTGTGTTTATCCGCGACACCTTAAAGGCCGGTCCGTGAAAATATTGTCGGGCATAAACCGGTCGTGGCGCAAAAAAGGTTGGGGACCGCTGCTCTGAATTGTTGTGACACATGTTCGAAATGCAGAGAGGTGCGCTCGATTTGCCACACGGAGCAGCGCAAGAGCAAAGCACGAGGGAAGGGCTAATAATCGGCTCAGTCATTTTTAATGATCGTTGAAAGCCCAGATCGTAATTGTGATTAAAATTCGGTTAATTGAGCAGCCCTACCCGTATTGATAGAATTTCTTTGTTAACTCAAAAGACACGACGTTGTACTCTCATTCCCAGCGCTTTATTCGTTACGCCATTTTACATACATACAGCAACAACACTTCGCGTACAACAGTACTCTCGCGATATAACAGAAAATAACAAGTTAACAATCTCCCTCTTTCTTTTAAAAAAATAAAAGTATAAACACACCCCTGTAAACATTTGTATACATATATGTATATATTTATATAAACAAAAAAAACATTTCAAAAGTGCTTTGCTTTACTTAAAGCATACTATCATTGCACACAATAAACAATGGTGCATTTTAATGCAAAGACAACTTTGTAAACAAAGGATTACAGTATCCAGAGTCCTTCATCTAGCGCCTTTAGAAGGGTTAAAGGTGAAACTCCCTTTTTTGTCAGACAATCAGCAAGTTGGGATTTTGAATCTGACCAACAAACCTGTCTGATTTTTCTTGGCTTGTATGAGCTCTTTAATGCTGCTCATTTCTAGCCTCAGTCTCTTCTCTGTAACCTGCTTAGTAGACTTGAGTGCATCAAACATGGAATGATTGTCAGTCACACAGATCAAAGGAAGAGCATTCAGACTAGTGTTACCAGTTGTAAGCTCAGAAAAAAGTGTTGCCAGGAAGACAGCACTGTCTATTCCATCTGACATGGCAAGAGTTTGTCCTGCCAGTGTACTTCTAACCACACGCCTGATTTTTTTTTAAACTGCCAGAAGAGAGGACAAAACTTTCCTCCTTTACCCATAAGGACAATTAATGCCCCTCCTTGAGTACCGCCATCAGGAAGGTTGCCAAATGAAGCATCACTGAAAACAACCAATGCCAGATCCTCACTGTTACCCAAGTGCTGAAACTTAAGAGTCACTTTCTCTGCCTTAAGTTTACGGATAACTTTGTTCACTCAGGGCTCGCAAAATCGCTAGCTCGAAGTCCTAGCGATTTTTCCAGTCGGGCTACCAAAATCTATCTCTGCCCTGCCCGTCGGGTTATCATAGGAAGGAAAAATATATGTCAATGCTTTTGCATTCTTTCGGAAATGTAGCTGGGTAATTATGTCATTGGCATCGGTGAGCCACTGTCAATATGTGACATATTGAAATCGCGTTTGAATTTGCGCTTGCTTTTTGCTTTCACTTTGCAATCGTGCGAACTGTGTATAGAGAGCGACAGTACTGATTGGTGAGTCACGATAATTTGCGCAGCAATTCCTCTGACATCGTCTTATCAATCGTTAGCTTACTATGCAAACATGACAAGTGAAATCTCTCGCAGCAAGCTTAAACATGTGAGAGCTTGATCGTGCAGAGAATTGCTGAGCGTTATGTGAGTGCGTGTGTAAAAGCAGCAGGATGTATATTTTAGTTCTGCTGAGCCAAATAAGACAGGTCAGGGTGAAGAAGTGACAGCCAAAGAAAAGCTTACCACAAAACGGAAATGTTATGACAAATCAGACTATAAGGCAAAAAAGTGCAGCTTTATGGTTTCATGGACAAAA